GTTTCTTCGAGGAAAAGGTATTAGTGCTGACAACTTATGTCGATAATACTGTCGGGGATAGAAGTTTGAAAAAAACCTATGTACTACTAGTCGTGTACAAACAGCATTTTTTTTTCTATAACAAGGACATTTTTGTAGCGTGCGGCTCGATAGAATGCATAATGACGGTTTTGCGTTCTGCATCACTAATGCGCTCTCAGAATGCGTCTGCGCCTCTTGCTGCGCTTTGTGCGCGTTTATGGATGACTCTATGAATATTTAACAACATTTGTGGGTTTTATTTTGTACCCCGCAAAATATTGTATTTGTGTTTCAACTAGGTACAGTCGGTGCGTTTGGGATGTAGATAAATTTTAATACATCGCAACGTGAACAAAAACACACACTTCCATTCATAACATATGGTTGCTTTCACAATCGAAACGTTTCACTAACCTTCACCGGTACGATTTTCGGTCAGCATGCACGTGGAAATTGGCAACTTGTCAAACAAAGCTGTCGACCACATTGCACATATTTTAGCGTGCACCCGACAACCGGCGCTCTGTAGAATGAAAATGTTCTATTGTAACAGTCCGCCCCAGATTTAAAACAATAGCCATTGATCCATAATTTGATTCATCACGTCAATTTTCGACGGAAACTCGTAGAATATTTTAATTGCGAATGCCATAAAAAATTTAGAGACTTAGGGTAGGCTTTTTGAAGACTATATTATTACCTACCGCTGTCGTACCGGAGCTGATTATTGAATCGAGTTTGACTTGACGTTTTTAAGATTTTTTAATTTTTATAATGTCAAGTAATGGGACGAACAAGTCATGCGCCTGATGGTAAGCTACACGCCTGTCCTAACAGTTGAAGTGCTACTTTTAAATCGCAAAGATCTGAGGGGCACTGCCACTGCGCCCATCACCCTGAGACATAAGTTGCCCAGTCCCATGTGCCTGTAATTTCACCAGCACCCTTACATTTCAAAACCATTAGGTACTTGCTTAGGCTTGGCGGCAGTACTTCCCTGGACGAACTCTTTCACAAGGAGCTGGAATGCTGCTAAAGTTTTCTTCATATATTTTAAAATTGACAGCATACTTGTGTAACATCCACGTCCTCATTTCACGAATCTATATAAAACGCAAATGTCGATGTTATTTTGTACTGCCACCACTACATAAACTAGCATGTGTAATTCGAGTGGCACATTTTCGTTATAACGTAGTTTAAAAAATACTATCAGGTTCAATGCCACCGCAAGGCCGGGAAAGAAATTTGGCAAACGTACGTATACTGAGTTCATGTCATCTCTTAAAAAACAATGTTCACACGAGTTAACGCGTTATTTTATTTTTGTTAGACGTATCAAATAACCTTTCAAAATTCATGAAGGAACTTTCCTTCCTGGCCTTGGATTAAAAATCTGGAATTATCATCTTTTAAAACATATTTCTGTATTTAATTCCTAAATAATAAGACTGCGTTACAAATACCGTCACCTAAATATTCACTAAATCAAGATCAAACAGTAAATTATAATTAGTCAGTATCAGAAACGCATACCAAGCACGTCAGTATTAATGTTATTTTAATACCAGCTAAAAGCGACTTTCATAACGATTACTAGGTCCCAAAAATGGCGTGAATTGGAATGCCGCTGCGCTCGTTAATCCGATGTCAAAATAAATACGTCGTATTACGATAGTTTGCAGACATGTGTGGTTACGACTATTAATTTGTGTTTTGTGAACAGTTTTTTAGTCTCTGGGTCATAAACTCAAGGTGCTGACAGTAATTAGTAACAAAAATGTGTCCTCTAGACGTTAAGTATAGCGTTGGAAATTATTTGGAGAATGTTTGTTTGTTCATTACGGACGTTATTTACGCTATTGTGCACATAGTAATGAACTGAATCTAAACTTTCTTCTAGTTATAATTTCACTTTGATTTCTCTCTACCTCCTGCTCAGGTTTTTTGTGCTAAAACTAGAATGATCGTTTAGTTAGCAGTGTCATTTGAATTTGTACCCGAACAACTTTTACCTATTGTAAAAAACATGCTTTCACTGGCGATGTTTAAGCCATCGATCAAGTTTGAACGTTTTTGAGTCATAAGCCGTCACCAAGTCAGGATAGATACTTAAGATACGCGTTGATTGATATGTTATAAAATTATTAAGAAGCAGTGAAGTGAATCCTAAGCTGCATACCATTTTCTAGCTTAATGCTGTTTGACATTAACCATATACTTACATATATGTATTTTTAATTATTAGGAACCATAAAAGATGTTGCAAATTAAATACGAAAGATGTACGAAACACGTTTCGTTTAAATAATTTAAATCATACAATCAACAAACCCGTCTTGTGATTCGGTTTTAAGCTTTAAACATTTCTAATAGCAGGATTCGCTCAGTTCCAATTTAATGGAATAAGTCACTGAATTCATTACCATTTTGACAAATGTGAATTAATCTCACGGTGTACGTTAGAAACAGGTTTTTAAGTTGGTGTTATTGTCGACATAGTCCTCCCACGATCTACTTCTCCTTTGTTTGATATGAATTACTGTCACAAAAGACACACAATACAGAGTGGTTTTAGTTTCTAAATAGCACTGAGATTAGGATGTTCCACAATTCAATTTAAGTTTTGTCTATTTGGCAATCTTTAGAAAATCCTAAGTGATAATTAAATTTAAAGTACCACCATGGTGACCGAGAAATGAATTTAAAAAAGTGAAAAATTCTGTCGATTGGGAGGACAAAAACCAAACGCAAGTTTTTGGAGGAATTTTTGAGGGTGTCCCGAGCGTAATTCCAGATTTCTAATCTTTTTTCCCTTTCTTTCCCCAACTTCAGTCGAAATAAGGTTCCGAATATCACCAATGTGTTTTATTTGTTTTCATATATGCTAATTTTGTTATGCAATTATGGCTAGTTCCATTTGAGGGCTTTTCACGTTTCATTATGTTGTTGTAATATTTTTTCAAAAAATCATAAATAAACACTGTGAGAAGGCAATGGTCGTATAGTTTCGTATAAATCCTACTAAGTTCGTGGGCTGGTGTGATACGAAAATGTCAGACATATTAACATACTTTTCACGAGAAACAACTCGAATAAAATTATTACAAGTCACGAGTGACACGAGCTGTCCCGACTGTAAAAAAAATACGCTAGTTAATTAGTTCGATCTGGTACAGGACAGGCGTGACTTCTGCTAGACAAAAAAGGAGTGTACATTACCCGGAGTACACATACTGGTACTCGTTCGCAACTGAAAAACGAAATATTTCATTGCGAGCAAGTTTGCGAAATGGTTGTTTTGCTAACGAGTTGCAAATTGTTAAGTTTTTCTTCATTTGGTATGTACAATGTACGTACATCCTTTTATTTATACATATCTTCTCCCTGTTTGTGTATGGCATGTTGTACTAAACATAACCAACAACATTGAACATTCAACGTGTTTTCGAGAATATATTAACACATATCAGTGTCGTGACAAACACTCGTAATGCCGACAAATTTCGTCTAACAGTAATTTGCATAAGTCACACGCAATTAGTTTTAATGGAATTTATTTCGTACAGTGGACTCCGAACGGCTGTGTGCTAGCGGTTGCCTCTTACTGACTGATAGATAAGTCGTTAAATTTTTTTTGAAGACGGGATTTGTAGTATTCTCTTCACACAGGAATTAGATAAAATACATTACTTTTCGAGACTTGCGATCGTTATGAAAAGAACGGTGCTAAATTCCACTTTTGCTTGTAATATAACGTCGCCTTGTATTGGGACTTTGCAATGATTTCGCGTAACCAGGCCTTTGGGGCACTCGTGTTGTACAATTCGTCACGCGGATTGACCCATAGAGGACTGCGCGTGCGATTCACGATATATTTTTTATTGTTAACAGTTAATATACTGGTTAAACACTTCGTGATCGCGATGGTGCATTTGGAGCACGAATGCCATTGATTGATTTTATTTAAAATAAAAGTTATTTGGATTTGTGTTAAAAGCTAGGCCCATATTCTCCAGTAAGAAACTTTAATATCCTGTATAAGTTCTCTATTTATAGATAATTTGGTTTAAAGTTGTGTACTTATCTAATTCGACCTTTCCCATGTCAGAAATAAGTTTTTTATCCTGACTCTCACCTTCTTCGGCCGAAACCTAGTGGCTTACATCGCGAGTGCGTGCGACTGTCTCGTTTTTATCTCCCGCTGCCACTCCGTCACCGGCCAGTAGAGTAATTGGTTTAATAGTTGCGGATTCGGAACGCATCTCTCACTTTGTATGCTGCCTCCCGGACCTTGTCACAGGACAATTACCAGTGGTAAATTGTGCTTTAGTCATTCATTTGAATTAGTCGACTCAACGTTAATAGCCACTTATCTCTTCTACTTGCAGAATACGATTTTCTAAGATAGTTCACTGTCAATATTTAATAACATTTATTTCTCTCGTGAGTTTGGGTGTAATTTGTGGTTGTCTATGTGTGTGTCCATGGCACCCGCGACACAGGGTTTCCCTAGTACGGGGATATGTTGAGTGTGCGTTATTATTATTATTATATTAATAGTACTTTCTCATGTTGGTATCCCAAGTTGATCGTTTTTGTTTTTATAGCTTAGTGACAGATTCAGAGATCAAGCGATGATAACTACGTGTAATTATTAATTGTGTGCACAGAAATAGAACGAAATTGCCTATAGTCAATAATAATTGTAATTTTTAAGTTATGAATGTTACGATGTTTGACCAACGTGATATTAACTTATTTCTGTGAAATCACTCCATTAGTTTGTTATAATTATTAATACAAAGATCAAACACTTAAAAAAAATTTCTTCGATCCGGCCGGATTTGAACCAACCTTTGCTAGGTGCACCAACCTAACAAATCCATCAAAACGTCTCTGACGGTCAATAATAATTGTCAACAATATTTGTGTTTGAGGGACCTGTATAATTGAATCGTTAACTCTTTCTTTTTCAGGTGCCAGCTTTGGACAATTACATCGCTTATATTTTGGTTAGTCAATTTATGATTATGAAATCTATACTCTGCTAATTTTGTTGATGGTTCATCAAAATAATACTGTAGACGTGTAGACATTACTTTTGCATCTGATTAGTTTAACGTTATTAAAAAGTTCTATCAAAAAAACTTAAATTAAAATTTTAATAACTCCGGTACAGAACAGTATACTCTGTAATCTCAGTACAGAGTAGGTACTAAAAAAACCGACCTCTAAAGTTCTTTGAATTACATCTATTTGCCAAGTTTTATTGAAAATGGTTTCCGGAAAGTGCGTGAAACCGAATTCATCACCTAGTTTGCCACCCTTAGAAGTGGAATATTTTCTTCAAATTTAAATGGGATCAATACTGAGGTTCTTTTCAACAAAGAATCATCAAAATCGGTTCACAAATGCCAACACACATACAAAAAAATACAGTCCAATTGAGGACCTCCCCTTTTTAAGGTCGGTTAAAAGTTAATAAAGTCACCATCTGTAAGCTGACAACTTGTCAAGACCAATTTAATGAGTCTAGAGTTTAATAAGTAGTTTAAAAGTCGGGTAGTCTACAGACTGACCTGGTTGCAACATCAGAAGAAAGTATTAAATAAAACGTAATTCGCTTGTGATGGTTTATTTCTCCACTCAGAGTACAGAGGGAAAAGATCGGATACAAAAGATTCAGCGCTTATTTATATAAATTTCTTCCCGCCGAAATCGCCAAACCTCATCGAGGAATAAGGTTTTTAATTAGCGGTGTTGGCTATGACCCACAATAATTACCAAAAGATGATGGCAGATTACAAGCAAAGCTTATAGTTATGACAGTCTATGACATTAAGAAATATTAATTAGCAACACCGATATAAAAGTAAAATGTCGTCTGTAATTCAAATTTCTCAACACCCGACACTTGCCAACTTTACTGCAGTATATGAAGACTTATGAACGTGGAAAAAATATATGCATACATTCTTTCCACCATTGAAGAAATGTATATACCTTCAAATACTTGAAATATATTAAAAGAAGAAAGTCTCCTAGACACAGTATTTAAAAAGATATGAAAAAAAAAAAATTGTTGAAGATTTGGCTTGATGGATTTATTCCGATGCCGTAAAACTAATATTAAAAAAAATCTCAACAATAACAACTTTAACTATGGTATTTTAATTTATTGTGAAAAGGTATGACAAATAAAGTAAGTAAGTAGTAAAAGTAAGTTTACAAAAGTGATTCATTTCAATAACCGTATTTGTTGGATTATGATACAATATAAAATGTAGTAAGTATGCAAAATACGACCTGGGGGCCTACCATAACCTTTCCAAAAAAATCTTATTTCAATGTAAGCATAAAGTAAGCTTATTGTAATATTACTTATTTTCGTATCACGGCAAACCTATCAACCAAGTAATGTATTATTGCTAAAGTGACTGAAAGAACGAATGATTTCCCAATATTGTCTATTCCTTACTAAAAATAGGAAAGAAATAACGCTATATGAACTGTATAATGCCATCTCTTTCTTTTTTGATGTTCCGAATCGTGTTATCGTAGTATAATGCTAAAGTACTTAATGTTATTTACATTCAGAGAATTATAACTGCTAAAAAAAGTAAAGTATGTAATAATGAAATCTATTAAAATTACGTTGTTTCCAATTATTATTCCGTATTTTCATGAAGAAAAATAAATAAAACAAACTGAGTCTTGATAGTCGCGTTGTGAATTCGGAAACATAGTGTAGTGTCAACTGTTAGTTTCCCCAAGGAGCATATAGATGGCGATGTCATAATTTTACGAAATAAACATCGCGTACTTTTATTTTACGAGAAATTATTTCCCATGTGCTATTAAATAAAAAATAAACAAAATATTGGAGAGATATATGTAAATAAATTACTTCAACTTAATTTTTAAGCATATTATTTTACAATTCAATATTTAGACAAGAAATTCGAAAATAATATTGTTTTCTTTGTATCCGTGTAACTATTATATATTTTAAGATTGCTAAATTTGACATAACGACAATATTACTTTAATGTTATAGCCGCGTCATAGTACGAACTGAGTGAATGAATAGTCACAAAGCTGCCAATAAAACATCATAGTTTTAACATTGTAATAAGCTTACTTTAAGCGCGTCGTGGTACGAAAAGTCAATGTAAGTTAAAGTAATATTGTTCTAAGCGGTTGTGGTAGGCCCACAGGACCCTATGTGTGCTAATTTTCTTGGAACCAATTGTAATTCTACTGTAACTCCACTGAAATGTTATTGCAATTATGATAATATTTGTTATTCTGCTACTATCTAGTTGCAGTGGCAGTTGAGTCTCAATGGAATGTCCCAGTGGAACGGCAGTGATGGCATTCATTTATTCAATAACTAACGGTCGATGTTGCCTTACTAAAACTATCATGGAAATTACTATGCTTATCTTAATTTTTGACCCGTTGAATCAGCAATTTAGTCTTCAAATTAAATGAATTTTTTTATATGAAATAATTAGTACATGGATGTGACATCGACTCGCCATTGAAGAGCAAAATACCAACAAAATGCAATGGCAGTTGTATAGTAGCTCGGTGGTTAGCCACTGACAAACCATTACTCTTAACTTTTAGCTGAATACCAAACGTACAAAATCCTGCTATTGACACTGTACACAACTGATTGATTATTTAAAATTAGCACAACTAAGGACCATCCTGATTAAAATAACCTTCTAATGACAAAAAGCGCTGAAGATCAGTCCATCCGTTTGGGAGCGACGACGTCACATGTAGTAATACAGAAAAACACACCTACACAGACAATAGCTTGAAATCTATATCACCCATTTTTTGGATGGGGGTTAAAAATTTGCGTATGGTTGTTCTGGATAGGGCGAAAATTAACTTATTTTATAAAATTGTATTAACTAAAAATTGTACCAACCGCGATCTAGATATTAGGTTGTAAATCGCGCCGACTGAACGATATTGAGTCCTATTCTTAGATGCCCAAAATAGTACCAATATTTTTTGGTATGGCTCTCTAATTGCATTGTAATCTTATTAACGAAACTCTTAACATTTGTTCAGTTGTGTAAGAACGCTTGCGTACTATGTCCGCTTCGTATCAGGGGGGCTACTCTCGATCTCCGTCCGACATCCGTCCGAAACAATTACTGCCAAATAAGCAATACTTGACCAAATGAAAAGACGCGTGATGCGAATGAAGTTTCATGCTGGATACTTGTCTTTTAATTTTGTTGAATATTACTTATTTGACAGTAATTATTTCAGCAGCTTTTCCATGTTTCATTTAGCCGTACTAATTCGAAAATTAATAGTTATCTCCAAGGTCTTTAACATTATTTAACCAACTCAATGACTACGACCGACGTCTAGGCCTTTCCTGCAATAGCGTTATACGCTATTACTAATAACTTCTTATCGAGTGACTGATATGGCGATTATTGTGTTTTCGTAGATGCATTAGTTCCTGTTATTGTAATGTTTTATTTTTATGTTCGGAAGCTTTTATTTAAGCATGGATTGATCATAAATATATCCATTTTGTAAAAGTAGTTGTAAGCTCCCTAATAAAATAGAATTATTGTAAGAACGCCACAGGCTTGGTTACGGAAAACTAAGTTTTTAAAATGGCTTGTGCATTTGATGTGTATTTTTATCTATTACTTATTCCTTTACGGTAAATGAAATCCTATTTAGTTTACACCAACAACAATTGATTGGCGCGTTGTCGCGCATACATTACAACACGAAACAGTGTGTCCATTATAAAATCGATAACATTCCGTCACAATCACAGAGATGTCACGTACATTACATATAACATCCTAGATTACCGTCCTCTGATATGACACAAGTTATAGAAAAGTAGCGATAAAATGACTTCCACACTGCGTGGTTCTTTTTCTGAATAGGTCAAAGACGCATTTTTATGATTTTGTTACGGGTAACTAATATAATAGTATTATTTAAATAGCTGTTCTTTTTTTTTTCAAAACAAATGTTAATGAAAATCAGGACTTTTGTCTATTCATGTAAATATGAAGTTACTTTTATTCTACAAAGGAGAGGAGTATTACCAAGATTAACTAAATTTATTTTAATTTTCACTCCCGCTAAGTCTGGAAACTCGGAACAGAATCGCCGTGGCATACTGTAGCGGGCGAGCGCGTGCGCCGACCCAAATACCCGCTTCTAACGGTGCGTGCGGCCACTGTGTGAGTCGACCTATACTACGGATCTAGTGTGGGTGTACTGACTACAGGATTGTGTAATTTTTTCCTACACTAAAAATCTTCATATCATGTCGATGCTTCATTTATTTTAGTACTCTAATGACTGAATACTATGACGCCATTTTGACTGCGCTAATAATCGTGGCCGCGTGCAGGCCCCTAGGGCCTTACCATGGAACTCTTATTACAGTTCAGTATAGGTTCGTCACGAGAAAAATGCGGGATGGTCATATACACTTCACGTAGCGCCGTCTCACAACGATTCACTTTAGGTCCTTAACTGAATCGTAATAAGAGTTCATGGTAAGGCCCCAGATCTTCCCTCGTACAGGTATTAGTTAACAAGGGGCACAAGAGTGCTGAATGGACTTGTATTATATAAATTCTGATGGTGGAACCTATACTACACAATTCGGGCGGTGAAATTCATACTCTTGAATTTGCAAATAGACTCTTGTGTAGGTAGTTCTCATCGTTAGAAATGTTGAGTCTACTACAAAAAAAAAATAATATGTTGTAAACGATTGTTTTATCACTGACGTATAAGTTTGAATAAAGCGAAAATTATTATGACAAGTAGACTTAGCAGTAACAATCGCGTTACAGTTACACTTACAACGGTTACATGTATTTTTGGCTTGGCCTTAGCCGACCCTCTTACGACACACGTAATATACTAGCATTATTCATACATTATTCATACATTATTTATACAATCAATGTTATATAATTGAGATAAAGTTTGTTATCAG